GGCATATACCTTATCATTATTTCTCCGTTCATCGACCATTATTTTGCTATGTCTTCCCTCTTTATTGATCTTGTGTTTTCTCACATACTCCATTAAAGCACCTGCACTCTGCTCATGTTTGGCCTCAGACTCCATTGAAGTACCTCTCTCTTGTCTATTTTCACCACTCGTCTCGTGCTTGAAACTAAGACTCCATTAAAGCACTTCTAATCTTTTTCCCATGCCCACAACTCACTTCGAATTTCCTTATAGCGTGATTAGGCTCTCTCGCCATCCTCTCTTTAGCTTGTTCTCCTATTCTGATTTTGATGTCATCTCCATGTGAGGGACTTGTCTTGCAACTTCGAAATCTGAGGGTTTTGATTTATCCACAAAGGACTCAAAATGAGTGGCCATCTTAGGGATTCTGTTTTCCTCCAAATTAACCTCTCTCTATCTCGTGGTGTTCTCTCTTCAACTTAGTTGTTCGGAGCCATTATTGTAACATCCCGAAATCCGGGTCAGTGACTAAAATGAGAATTTTTTAAATTTGGGGATCAATTTAGGAAAAATTGAAAGTTCAAGAATTTTAATAGGAATATTTCATTATTGGATGAAAGGGTAAATATGAAAGAATTATAAGGGTATTATGGTAATGTTAGCTTAAAATACATTTTCTCCCTTTTGTAAGAATGAAATACGTGGGTGTGGAGAGTTATCTGGAACTCTTCTTTTTCTTCTTTCTTTCTTCTTCCCGTGTGTTCATGCTCAAGCCTCAAATGTGAGTTTTAATTTTGATAGTTAATTCTTGAATATTTGAGTTGTGTTTTATTCTTTGAGTGTTATATAAGCTTAAAGAAAGCTTATATAAGCTTAAAACACCAAGAAGAGAGAATTAGAAAGGCATTAATATTAAGAGTTAAGAAATGAACTTTTGTTATAAAAAGGTTTTTGAAGTTCCAAGAATGAATTTGACTTGTCAAAGGGTTAATTAAGAAGTTAGAGGTGATATAATTGAATTTAGAACACATAGAAAATTTAATGAAATTCTTTGATTCAAGAATTATGGTGGATTATAGGAGATGGTAAAGTGCTATAGTGTTATAAGAAGGTTTATATATATATAGATAAGTTTTAAGGTATAAGGAGAGATTAATAAGTAGAATTTGGGGTCAAAACAAGACATTTTCGTGCTCAATATGTAATTTCTGGGTTGTGTGCATCGATGCACATTCAATGCGTACCGATGCACTCTCAAATATATAAACATCGAATGCCATTAGTGCATCGATGCATAAGGAGTACATCGATGCACCCCCTTAAAATGAAAACATTGAAGGTGATTTGTGTATCGATGCACTTGTTAAGGGATACATCGATACATGGTAAAATGTACCAATGCACTTCAATGGGAAATGAAATAAATCTTTCTTTCAGTCTAAGAAATTATATATTATAGTATATCAATGGGATACTGATAGTATAAATATATGATTGTGTAGACATCGATCGAAAGCAAAGTTCGGATCGGTCGACAGAGTAAGATACGCAAAGAAAATAAGAGCTTAAGAGTGTTCATTGAGACCAGGTGAGTACATGATAATAAGTGTACATTATGTTAAGAAATTAAGACTTGCAATGATTCCAATTCCGATATTATATGATATAAGTACTAAAGCATAAACATGTAGTGATATGGTGTTAGATGTATGGTATATGAGTAAATGTATATGTTTAATTGTTGAATGCATTTTATGTGTGAACTATGTAAATGCATGTATTTATGATAATAGGTCATGTGATCATGAGATATATGATAAAATATATGTGAAAATAATATGACTCATATGTGCTTCTATTAGAATGTTATATGATATGTTATGTATGTGAAATGAATGTCATGAATACATGTTAGTATAATAAGATAGATTGGATGTTATAATTGAATGAAGGGATGGTATGAGAACATGTATATGCGAATATGTGTTGTATGATAGTGATCTATGGGATATTGATAATAAGACATAAGATTACATGCATATGTAATATAAGTTAAAAGATAAGAAATAATATGTTATATGCATATAAGAAAAAGGTATATGTGAACTATGTGAAATGGGATAAAGAACTATGTGATGTGACCATGTGTGAAAAGGATGAATAATGTGAATTTCATGGAAAATGCTACGTGAAAGTAAACTACGTGATTATGTGATATGAATATGGGAATGTGTAATGAGGTAAAAGATAATGGCCATGTCATGTGTTATAAGAGCTATAGGTATAGTTGGCATGCCAAGATTCGAGGGTCTACGCAGTCCTTCGGGACATAGTGGTCTTTCGGGACATATGTGTTATATGTGGTCCTTTGGGACATCTATGTGGTCCTTCGGGATAAATTCTATGCACCCCTAGTGGGATTTATACGAGCTGTGGTGACAGCATTGTGCACAACCTCTATGTACTCACATACCTTAAGTTCTCAATAGTGTGCATAGGCTTTGAAAAGAAACATAATTTGATATAATGATATGTGTGTTTCTCGTGAAATGGTATATGTGATATGTGATATGTGATACGTATAAGTAATAAGTTAGGATCATATGATAGTAATGGTAACAAGTGCATATGTGTAATGGTGATATGAGATGTTATATGGTTATGTATGATATGATCATAGTAATTATTCATGTATTGTTGTGTGTGGAAGTTATATTATATGTTTATGTTCAATATATGCTCATATAATTGAATGTAATTAATGACAAGAAAATAAGTAAGGATAAACATGTTAGTGATGAGTTCAATAGGTGTATAAGTATAATGTGTATTACATAAGATGTTCATGCAATTGTTAGTTTACCTTATATATTTACATGTCTCACTAAGTCTATGACTTAGCGTGTAAGTGTCTTACACGTAGGTGTGGATAAGTCAGAAGATCAAGCTTCGGATCCGTAAAGCAACATATCTCCGCGCAAAGTTCAGATCATAAATATTTTGTAAAGTATGTCTTGTCATATAATTTAGTATGTTGGCATGTAACTAAGTCATTATATATATATGAACGCTCTGATAGAGTCTGTTAAGGTTTTAAACAGGTTTATGTAAAAGAATTACTTTATAGAATATAACTTTTAAATTTTTTATGGCTTCTTTTATAAAAGTATGTGCTTTGACTAGTCAATGTGACACCTCAGATTCGTATCCGGGTCAGATACAGGTTGGGGGTGTTACAATTATTCCATTGATCAGACTTTTGTTTCTCACTTTGTGATCTTCATTAATGGGATCGAATGTTTGTTTATTTGATCTGATGTTGGATTTGTGTTGTAAGGCTGAAACACCGATTTGGGCCTAAAATATAAGGAGAGAATGTGGTGTTGAAGATGGAAATACGTGCATGGAGGTTGACACATGCCACATCAGATAAAACTAAAGGGAAGTAACGTCAGAGACCTTACTGAAAACGAACTAAATGTTTGGTGATTGTATTGCAAGTTTTAAAAGTTGAATGACCAAAATGCATATGCCTTAAAAGTTCAATGATAATTTATTTAGTTAACCCTTTTTATATCAAGCCTTAGATATCTTTTGTATTTTTTTAACGTATATATATATCTTCAAAATTTTATAAATTATTTTTTAACATAAATTTATTCGTTCATGTAAAAGATAAAAGTGAAGGTATATATAATCAGTACATAAAGGTTTATGTAACTTATAAAGCTAACACTAAATCACTAATATTGTAAGCGTAATCAAACCACATATCATCTTCACTTCATGCATATATTACATACTAACCATACTTTCAAGGCTACTGAAACCCTACAGAATTTTCTTCAACCGTGACGGTTGATGTAACTCGAGAACCAGCGGTCGAAGTTGCTGCCTGTGCTTGAACCGCCAACTGCTCCACCAGAGCCGCCTTCTTCTCTACTTCCAGCTCCGTAGCCACCGCCATGTGCACCACCATATCCGGCCCCATAACCATACCCGAAACCAGACCCAGACCCAAACCCATAACCGCTTCCAAACCCAGTAGGTACTTAGCGGAGCCCGAACCATAGCCCCATCCACTCTCGGGGCTTGATCCCCATCCCCAACTATAGTCCCAGTTAGGTCCATGGCCCGAGCCATTAGCACCGTCAGAGCCCCCCGCTCTCGGAAGGGGTAGGCTGTTTCCTACCACCGTGAGCACCGGCCATGCTAACTGCACCCAATAAGAAAAGAAGGAATAAGGTGAAATGCGTTGAGTTTAGTTTCAATTTCTTCACCATTGTTGATATGTTTCAAATCTTAAAAAGCATGTAAGTGGGTATTTATAATGGGGTTGAAGGCCACTTGTGATATTATTTTCCTTTTTCATATGGCTGCAAATGTCTCCAGGTGTTTGATTATTTTACCCACAAAGAAGAAAAATCTTCGTTTTGTCACGCCTGAATCGCACTATCGCCCTTCAACTAAATTAAACATGATTGAACTGATTAATGATTATCTGTGTTGATTCATGATGTTATCAAAATGGTAAACTATATCATTTATCACTCAATTATATTTACACTCTTATTTTGATCACTAAAATTTAAAATTTCAATTTAATCATTAAACTTTCAATTATTCCACAAACAGAACTTCAACGCTCTCAAGTCTCAACACACAACATGCCTCCGCCATTCTTGTTTTTGGCACTTCCAGAACTACATTACAATAGCAATCCAAGCGTCAGCTTTGAAATTCTCTCCGATTTCAACACCTTCCTTGTTGGAGTCAGGGATGAATTGGGGGCGGGTGGGACAATCGTCCCCTGAAAATTTAAAATTATTATATATTTTGATTTTTTTTTATGTATTTCCTATTGGAAATCTGTCCCCTTAGAATTTTAGTTTGACCTCTGAAATTTTTGTTCATCCCCTTAAGTTTAAATTCGTCCCCTTAGAATTTTAGTTTGCCCTCTAAAACTTTTGTTCATCCCTTTAAGTTTAAGTTCGTCCCCTAACATAAAATCATGCGTCCGTATGTGGTACTTGGAGCTGCTGCGAGAAAAAGAAGATTTTCATTTGGGAAAGTCCGAATGGAGGAAAAAGATAGAGGTAAAGGTTCTTGCTTTGAAACAAATGACTTCACGACGGATTCAAGCCGGGCAGGGTGGATATAAGGGATTGAGAAAAAGGTAATGTGAGGCCTGGGCTCGATTTCAATTAATTGACTGCTGAGTTCATTTGTAGACGAGCCGAAACATTCCAAGACTTGATTTTCATGTGTTGGATCCAAGTAAAGCTCAATCGAAAAGCCTTGTGACATTGAATGGAGATCTAAGAGTATCCAAATGATGAAAATTTTTGAACTTAATGACCAAAAAGAGAAAATGATTCAGAACCCTTGAAAGAACACAGAAAATGAAAGATACCCATGTTAGATTTGGTGCTCTGAAGGTCAATATGTTATATCTTAAAAACCAGAAACACAAAGTTCAAATGAAATCTAAACCTAAACTATGTCGTGGATCCCAACAGTGGAGATGTCTCTTTTGGGATGAGAATAACGTATCTTCTATTGGATTTCACTTAACAGCACACAACGAAAATTAATGACCAAAAAGTCGAAGTATTCAACGATCGATCTATAAAGCTCAAGAGATTTTCAATTAAATGAACTACATCACATTAGGAGCATGTTTGTTTCACTGAAAATATTTTCCATAAAATGATTTATAACGTTTGATAATTACTTTATGGTGTCTAGATGATGTTGTAGATATCTTTTTTACTTGACAATTTTTTTTAAAAAATATTTATTAAAAATATCGAATAAAATTAATAATATTATTTATCATAAAAATTCAATATCATTATTTTTAAAATATTAAAATAAATTACTTAATATTACTTATGTCAGTATTATTATTGAAATGTTATTTCTATAATTTTATAAATAAAAAATATTTTTTAATAGAAGGCCGCTAGTTTGATTAAAAATAGAAAATATTCAGAATTACAATGAAGATTTACAAGCATAACCGTAAACGTAAACTAAATTATAATTAGGAATTAACACAAAAACTAACCACCTAGATCACACAATGACCATAAAGATACGAACAAATCTGACTACATCACGAACCATAAAAGATGATGAAACTAATGAAAGATCACCGAAAAATTGCAAATCAGAGTCAAGAGACGTGAGATAACTGTCCACGAGCATAAAACACGTATCTAAATCAATATGAGGGTCTAAAGCAGGGAAAATCAACATAATAACAAATAAGTGCCATCTTGATCAGTCGTGGCGATGTCAAATCCAACCCTGAGAAAAAAGTTAAGTAAAAACAACGACCAAACGACTGAAAAACTACCAAAAGACAGAGATAAACATGTCATAAAGACATATTTATTCCTATTAAAAGGCTAAAAAACAAAGAGAAAAGACAACCAACGGTTGGTAACCAATATTAAATCCGGTGTCGCCGCCAGGTAAACAAAATCAAAGAATAAAAAGTTAATTTGATCTATAGAAATTAACACAAGTTGTAAAGAAAAAAAGGAAAAGGAAGAGAGGGGAGGGGAGGCAGAGCGACTGCCAGCGGGTATAATGAATATTTTATATTATTATTAAAATAATAAATATTATTAATTATATTAATTACTTATATAAATAAGATTATTATTATTATAGTATTAAAATAAAAATATTATATTATATTTTAAAATTTATTAATAATATATTTTAAGTATTTTTATTAAAATATTACTATATTATTACATTAATATTAAATATATAAAAATATTATTAAATATTATTATTTTTATGAAATTAATAAATGATATTAATTTAATTAATAATTTATTATATATTAGTAGAATAAAATTATATATTATTATAATATAATTAAATATTTTATAGTATTAAAAAATTATTATTATATCATTAATAAAAACATTTTAAAATTTCTAATATTTAATATTTTATTAAAATGATACTAAAATATTATTATTAATATAAATAAATAAAAATAATTTTATTTTGATTATTTATGTTTTGAAGTGAAAAGTTCAAAAAATGACTTACGAAATCGTAAGCTATTATAAAAAAATGTAACGTAAATTTTGTTCACCAAGAAAATATTGTACAATAACCAACCGTTTTTCGTAAATCAAACACTAGAAAGTGAGAAAAACATTTTTCAGAAAATGTTTTACATGAAACAAACATACCCTAAGTATATAATAATCAACCGTTTTTTGTCAATCAAACACTAGAAAGTGAGAAAAAAATTCAAAAAAATGTTTTACATGAAACAAACATACCCTAAATTGAGCAAAAACGTTTAAATTTATTAGTAACTTTTCTTTTAGAAATATCATACATGTACGTGATCAAATCAAACGAATCAGTTCTACTTTATTTATAGTGATTCTATCGTGTGTCAACAAATATGCTCCTAATATAAGGCGTGTCGTTTCAATAAGTTATCAATCTCAAACTTAAAATATTATTCGATTCAAATTAAAAAAGTTACGTATTCTATAAGAAAAACGGTTTCAACCTAAAATGTTATTATTGTTTCTTATATGAAAAAATGGCTGAAGATTACTACATCTGTAGAATTGTAGAGATGTTTGAGGCAGTTGATGGAACTTTATATTTTACGGCTACAGAGGTCGTGACACTGTGAGAGGGTTCATTTATGCTATGTTTAAAGACGTCACATTGTTTCTTTTTATGTATATTTAAAGAAATTGTCGACGTGGTTGCAATTCGTCTAAGGGACAGATCCATAAATAGACTAGATAGTACTAACTTATCCCTTTGTAATGCTTGGGGTATAGTATAACCAATCACTGTTGTGTAATTAGGCTGTTCTGTTTTGTTGATTTGTTATTGGTTGTATCAAAACCTTACTGTTGTGGTAATAAAATGTTGAATTATCCAAAAAAGAAGAAGAAAATTTAGGTCAACAAGCCTTTATTTTTTCACATATTCCATTGGATTGTCTGGTTGGAATGCTTAGTATTGCAACAGTCTCCTTGAATGTATGTTTTCTGTTTCCTGCACTTCTTTCCACATCTTCACTCTTTTAACTTCTTGTATATTTGTAACTTTAGATCCATTTGGAGACAAAGTTAAATTTATTTTTTTAACTTAAGTAATAGTTTTAATTTTCTTACTAATAATTTCATATATAAAAATTATTAAAATATTTATGAAATTATTTAAAAATCAATTATTTGATAGAGTTAACAGTAATTTATATATATAATCATCAATTTTTTTTTAAACTTAAGTAACAATTTCAAACATTTTATTAATAATTTCGTCTCCTACCATCAATTTTCCATCCAATTTGACGATGACACGTGTCACCATATGATTGGGTGGAAAATAAAACAATTACATTAAAAATATCTTCCATTCATGTTTTGACACGTGCCACATTTTGATTAGAGCGTTAGATTTACTAAATTAAATTAAAAATAGGATTAAATTCACATAATGTATAAGTATTGAGGACTAAATGTATAATTATATAAATTTTTTTAACTGCCACGTCAGCACTTCCGTCAACGGCAAGTTGCCTAATTGACAACAATTAAATAGTTAAGTAGTCTAATTGAAAAAATTGAAAGATCGATGGCAAAAGTAAAAGGACTAAATAGTTGAGTGGTCAACAGTATAATTTATCCTAAAAATAAATATGCTTGTGAAAGTTTGCAATGGAATCATCCAGAAACAATGGTAAAATTTAAATACATGTTATTTATTTTTGTATGTATTGTATAATAATTCAGTGAAATGCATGATATATTAGGTTAGGAACGAAACTGCTGAAGGCTCTTTGGCTTTACTGAAAGTGTGGGAAAAGCTTTGTGTTTCATTTTCATTGTCAAAATTCAAAGATTCGGGAAACCAATCATGCCATTATTTTTCCATTGAAGATGACGAGAGTCACGAGACTGATGAAGCTGACACTGAAGATGGTGATACTGATGGTGAAGCATTTGAAGTTGAAACAAAGGGGAACGTGGATTATCAAATGTTTTAAGTTCTCACCGACTATAAGTACTCAAACAGAAATACTTCTTTACTTTGGTAAATCATTTGAAGCATTTTAGTGGTGATATGAATGCGTTACTTGTCATTTTTCTGTCTAATTGCGGGCTTTTTATCCTTTTAATTGATAAGAATACTACATACATACATACATACATACATACATACATACATACATACATACATACATACATACATACATACATACATACATACATACATACATACATACATACATACATACATACATACATACATACATACATACATACATACATACATACATACATACATACATACATACATACATACATACATACATACATACATACATACATACATACATACATACATACATACATACATACATACATACATACATACATACATACATACATACATACATACATACATACATGCATGCATACATACATGCATGCATACATACATGCATGCATACATACATACATGCATACATACATACATACATACATGCATACATGCATACATGCATACATGCATACATACATACATACATACATACATACATACATACATACATACATACATATACATACATACTACATACATACATACTACATACATACATACATACATACATACAGACATACATACATACATACATACATACATACATACATACAACATACATACATATACATACATACATACATACATACATACATACATACATACATACATACATACATACATACATACATACATACATACATACATACATACATACATACATACACATACATACATACATACATACATACATACATACATACATACATACATACATACATATACATACATACATACATACATACATACATACATACATACATACATACATACATACATACATACATACATACATACATACATACATACATACATACATACATACATACATACATACATACATACATACATACATACATACATACATACATACATACATACATACATACATACATACATACATACATACATACATACATACATACATACATACATGCATACATACATGGGTTATTGGTCCTGTAAAGAGTGTGGTGAGATTTTCTTGTTTATATATGTTGGTCATAATACGAACATTTCTGCATCTAGTATTTATTGTGTTATTGTTAGCCCATTCATTTTTTTCAATTGAATATTTTGTGTACTTTATTGAGATTGTTCTGAAATTCTTATTTTTGGAACTACTTAAAACCTTCAATGATTGATGTTCACTATTTTGCTTCAAGTTCTGTATAGACATTAGTTGTGTCCATATACTTATGGTGTGCTCCATGATTTTCTGTCTTTTATTAGGTTCGTTGGAAGAACTATGGGCCAGAAGAAGATACGTGGGAGCCACTAGAGGGATTGGGGTATGTAGCCAGTATATCTGATTGTATTCCATCATGGTGTGCAAAATTGTATCCAACAGTATACCTCTTTTTAACAGTGATTGTCGAAAATGCTTGAAGGACTTTGTGACGCGATGTTTTAATGCAAAAATTCTGCCATTATCTATAAGCTTCATTATACTGTGCAATGTTCCTTTACTCACGTTTGCCCTTCTAACTACTATCATAACTCCTTTTCTAGCCTTGTAATTGTTCATTCCATAAGTTCTTAGGGTGCGTTTGGTTCACGGAATGTAAGATTACCTCCGGGAATAGGATTACTGGAATGTAACATTACCTAACACATTACTGTGTTTGGTTTGTTTGGCAGGAATGTAAGATTACAGTGTTTGATTGAAGGAATAAAAGATTACTGGAATGTATATTTTATCAAATTGTCCTTGTTCTATATTTTTTAACAAGTGAAATTCTAAATATTTAAATGAAAATTATTTATATAAAAATTCATCGATAATATATTACTTTATTATTTAAATATATCATGTATTATTTTAATTTTAATTAATATTAAATTTTACATAATTTATCTAAAAATATATTAAAATTTTACATCAACATTTAACTAAATAAGCATATGAATATTGTAATAGATGAACCATTTTACTCATACCAAAATGTACAAAGCTGACTTTATAAATTTTTTAGAGAATATTTTTAATTTATTAATTATAAAATATATTATTATTAGTATTAAAAAATAATCATATTTTTACTTTTTAATTTCTAAAATCATATAATATCTATATTATCTAAATCATATTTTCTAGTACTTTTTGTATCACTTTGAAATATAATTTTTGTTTAAACTTGTTTATTTAATTTAATAAATTAACATAATAAAAACAATTTACGACTTATTTGGAATTATTCGTCATTTGATCGTTAATTTATGGGTAAACTATCTATTTGGTCACCCGCATATTATTTATTTACTGTTTTGATCACCCAATTACTATTATATTTCAAAATAATACATAATATTACGTTTTAGTCACCCACGATTAAAAATTTAATAATGATGTTTACGTGATATTTTAACCATAAATAATAATATGTCCATTCTTGACCTGAATAAAATTAATAATAATAAAGTAAAAGAAATTGTAATTTTCATTTATATATATATACACAACAAATATAGTTGCTTTTTTTACCCAATAGAGTCAAGTGGAGGCAGTAGCTTCCAATAACATCTATTGGGTCAGTGTACATGTTAAGGACAACTCAAGTAGCCACAGTTGTGGTTGTACTTGGTTTGTAAATTTTACAAAACCTAACAAAAATATAACAGTTAATGATCAAAACTTAATCAATCAATAACATAATTGGACAAAATGTATGTATTTTTTAAATTTAATGATAAAGATTACAAATATAAAAAGGAAGTGATCAAATTTAATAGTTTACCTTTGTTAATACATAAATAATACAATGCTGGAAACACAAGAAAAAAAGCTAGAACAACAACTATCACAACCAGAATAAATAAATCCCACCAAGCTTTGAACATACTACACCGACAGAGGCCAAGCTTTGCGAGGTGATCTGCCAACCTGTAATTTCTCTCGGAACAATTTACTCTGAGAAACAATGGGAGATGAAAACTACATATAAAAACAAGCACCCTGTACCGATAACTTGAAATCTCATTTTCTCCAAAGATCATGCAAGTGGGCATGTCCATGAAGTCCATCCTTGGAATATATATCCTTGAAAATGCAATGTTATTGCCTTGCTCTAAATGAACAAAACAAATTACCAGAACCAACAATGAATTTACCAATCACAATTTTTCGTCATCCTTTAAGCAAGAACTTATGAGTGCAACATAGTTTGACAACATCGTCGTTACTTGTGTCGTTATAGAAGTAGCTCGACACCTTATAGCATGGGCAAATATTACAGTAGTTGGTTAACACACACAAATGAGGTGTCTAAAACTGAGAAAACTTACACCTTCCTGAAGAGATGCTTTCCCATGACTGCAGTGGAAGGACTGAATGAAATAACACAAGCAAAACACATGGTTACAAACTGTGCTTATAAGAGAACCCCAAACAATATTTTTCCCCAACACCATGAAAATAATTAGTAACAATGTGAAAGCACCCCTAAAAATCTCGAAATCGACTACACCAATATGCTTATGAAATATATAACTGCTTAAAACTTTAGCAATAATGCATTTTAATTTTGAAGCGATTTGAATGCATAAGACAATTACCATCTTCTTCACATTAGCATCATTTTACGACTTTTGTTGGTAGTACAAAGTGTCGATTGTCACAGAACCAAATATGCAAAATCTAAAATTCATGATTGAGAATAACATTTACACAGTACATAGTAGTTTTAATCTCTAGCGCAGGAAAGCAAAGCAAAATACATTAAACATCAAGGTTGCCTTAAAATACCAACCAACAATTTGTTATCATTAAAGCGCCAAGCCCTTGCAAAGGACATCAAATTATCATCTATGCCTAAAAAGAGATGATGCCCACCTAATTGAAACCCACCAAGCATCCACCCAATTTTTCTATGACAAATTTAACATAGAAGTAACATTGAACTTGCACAACAAAATACAAATTTCATTGCACCATAAACCAGAAAAAAACATGGAATAACCAAATTCCTAGTTTAATAATAGGAGAAATCTTAATTTAATGAACAACTGAACCCATTAATTATAAATTTCATCAAAAATAAAAATGTGTTCTAAATACTGCTCCCAATAAGTAGTATTAAATGATGTGAACTAATAAAACGATGGAAACTTAGGTATCCCCTAATCATAATTAGAAACGCCATTACACAAACACATTACAACAAACAAATTAGAAACACCCAGATGAAGATTTCAGCCAAGAGTTAAAAGAATCAAATATAAGTGTAACACCCAAATTTAGGGGCTAAATTTAAGAAAATATAAATTGGTGAATTTAATTGGTATTTTTGAAAAGAATTGGGGATTAAATTGTAACATTTCAAAGTTGGCAGACCGTTTTAAGAAGTGTAGGAAGTTCAATGGCTAAACTCATGGTTTACCCATTTTTATTATGAGTTGAATTATAAATCCCCCATTCTCGTATGTTTTCTGGAAAATTTTCCAGATTTTCCCTCTCCGATCAACCAACTTTCAACTCCGATCTACTCGCCGTCCGACCTCCGATCGACGAGCCGAAACCACCATCGTATTCGTTGTCAAACGAGGAACCAAACCCCTCAAACCTTTCGTCGTGAATCATCGCCGTTCGTCGTTAATTTCAGTCGGAAGTATCGTCGGTAATAACTCGGTTTTAGTTGGTTTTTCATCGATTCACGACGATCGGGTCATCCGTTTACGACACCTCCCGCACCATCGTGTTCGTTGCATCGTTCCGAGTTCGCCGGTGTCATTCTTGGTCTCCGTCGACGGCGGCGTGTAAGGAGGTGAAGTGGTCAAAGTTTCCGATTTATTGAAATCGAGCTCTTCGCCGTTCAAAATTGTGAACCGAGCTTTGTATGTATCTTGAAATCGCTCAAAATAATTTTTAAGAATTTTTCCGTGATTTTTAGGCAGCCGGAAGGGGTCCCAAGCGCCCCCACGCGCCGCCACTACGCGTGGGGATGGCCTAAATGACCGGTTTGACCGGTTTTGATGCATAGTTGACCGGTTTGACCGATCATAACCCGACCAGACCCGACCCGACCCGTTGACCCAACCCGTTGACCGTTGACCGGCGTTGACCACTGTTGACCGGCTTTGAACGGGCATTAAACGACCTTTGACTTCGACCGAGTATACCTATCCTGACATTTTTTGACGTTCCAAATCCGATTCCGCAGTCTGTTTCTCGAAATTCGAACCCGAAGGCCTTGAAATATCCAGTCAAACCCGTTGACTTTGATTTTGACCGAAAATTCCAAATTTTCGAAAAGCCATATTTTATTCTTTCGACGTCCAGAATCCAAATCCGAAGTCGGTTTTGCCAAATTCGAACCCGGTAAGCTGTTTTTGACTGATTTATCATCCGATTCGATCCGTTTTTCATAATTAAGCTCCGTTTTTGATGTAATTTCTGTTTATATGGATCCGAGGAAATATTGGAAGTTGAATTGAAGATCAAAGGTGTTCGAATGGAATTTTTATGGTCGATCAGTATTGCACGAAAATCGAGGTAATACTTTACTACCTCTTTATGCTTTATGGAACATGTTTATATTGATAAATGCATGAACAAGATAATGTTGGTCACTTTGGTGGAGTTGAATAATTTATACACTCGATATGATGTGGTAGAAATTCTGTAACTAATTACGGATCGAATGACTAATATAAGAGATAAAGGAATTGTGAGATTAAATTACAAGTTTGTGATTAGTGATAAAGAAATCAGCCTTGTATCTGCAACTTATAATTTATTTCATCAAAGGTTAAATGTTAAAGGTACTTGGATGAGAAATTGTGAGAATACTATGGTAGGGTAAAATTACAAAAATACCCTTATGTTATAAAAAGACAAGATTTGAATATGGAAGTTAGATAAGAGGATTTTACTGACATATTGATCTGATAAAAATATTGATGTGTATAAGAAATGTTAGTTTTATTTGGAAATTATGGATAACCGGTTTTAATCCTATGAGAATTTGTGAAGGATACTAGAAGTTTGTTAAGAGAATCGTTTCAAGATCAGAGAGTATTCAAGAAAGCAATTAATCATAGGATCTCTAAATTATATTATTTTCGTTAAGAGCTAATATCGAAATTATCTGGTTAAGAAATTACGAAAATGCCTTAAGAGGTAGAATAGTCTGAGTTGACTCTGAATGAGAAAATACTTAGAGGATTCGTACTTAACTCGATTAAGTACGGATTTGATTGTTAAAATCCTGACTTAGTGCAGGAAAATTTCTGATGTTCCGTTTGTAAAATCTGAGAAGGAACTTGACCCGGAAATATCCGAGTTATGAGTTAATACCTGAAGAACAATTTGTCAGGGGGGTGTTCTGTTGTCAGAATTGTTCGAAAGGACTGAAATAAATGATAAGATTGAATTTAATAGTAAGATCAGACGGAAGGAAATGATTAAAGTACACTGAATTTGTACAATGACCAAAATACCC